GTGCCGCCACACAGCCCCAGCAGCACTTCAAGTTGAATTCAAATTGAAATTCAACTTCAAATTGATGTGCAACTGAATGGGAACTGAAGTGAAAATGGAATCCGAGTTGGAAGTGGGATTGGGAGCGCAAATGGACGTGGAAGCGGGACTGCAACTGGAAATGGGATGGGAAATGTGTTGACAGGCATGAGACACAGAGATACGAATGTAGATATAAATATATGGATGTGGATATGGATATACGAATATGCAGGAACAGATATGCACATGCAGATTCTGATATACAGATATGATATAGATATCTACGAATAGAGATAGATGGCTACCGATACAAGTGTACAAGTATAGATCTAGACACAAATATGCAGGTTTACGTATGTAGATATAGACTGAAACAGATACAGGCAAGAATAATATATAATGGACAACATGCAAGTGCAAATGTGGCTACATGTTGCGACAGACGCAGAAATAGACATCTAGACGGATTTACAAATACAGATATAGACAAAGATACATATACACATATAAATGCCAGTACGACTAAATAAATAAATATACAGCTATGCACATGCATACAGATACGGATGTCCATGCAGCTGTTGCCACAGGTCTAGGTACAGATATGCATGTACGCATTTCGGTAAAGCCATGAAGCTATAGATTTATAAACACAGGTAAGAATATGAAAGCTGACAAAAATAAACTACTGCACCTAGTTGAGAGTAAGACACAAAAGGCGTATCCATATGCATCGGCCTTTATAAGTTCAAGCACAAGCACTTCGCGCGAAAACAGCACCGGCAGGAAGGTACTCTTAAAAACCGAACTTCACGAAGCAGGAAAAGAAAAAAATAGAAGTGTAACACAAGTCTTATGGGAAAAGAGTTGAAAATAAAGATAAAATAGGAAGAAAAGACGAAACAAAAGGCGAAAAAACGGGCTGCTAGTGGCGCGAAGTCCCACGTGCTCTCCCTCCTTGACCACGTCCGCCTTGCTCAAATCCAGCATATAATCCCCGGTGGGAACTTCGTCAGTGGCAACTCTGTAAAGCGCCTTGGGTTCGAAGAAAAGGCAGGGGTTTTCGTCTCGGATGCAGCTCAGCAGCAGCCCCTTGGCCTGGTAGGGGCCCCTCGGGATCACAATCTGAACAGCAGCAGCAGCAAAAACCGCCAGCAGCAGCTGCCCTTTCTCGCAACTCAGCTGTCAAACGCTTCCAAACACGCACTGAGAGATAGGGTTTAGGGTTTAGGGTTTGCAGCTGGAAGGCGATGCCGCTCCCAGGAAGCCCGCAGCCTCGCCTGGCATAGCGTTTAGCTGTAGGGCTTATGGATTTGGACTTAGGATGTAGGATTTACTTTAAGTCCTGCTGCATGCGCAAAGAATGCCTCCGGAGACTGGGAGTGGTAGAGCCCTCCGTGGCCCACAGCGCCCCAGGAAGACCTGAAAGTGACTTTCCCGCAGTTCCAGTTGTTGCCGCTGCGGTAACGGAACTTGGCGGCTTCGTTTACGATCTGCAGCAAAGCACCGAGCAAACTGCTGCTGCCGGTAGCTCTGCGAGGCCCCCTGGACCAGTGGACCACTGGCCCACTGGTGCATAGACCTCTAGGCTGGGGAGCAGCTGCTCAACCCACTAGTGGAAAGCAGCCCGGGCGCTGCTCAGCGGAGGAGCCAAACAGCAGCCGACAAGCCAATCTTAATGCCAAATCGGCAACGGAAATGCACTAATTTATTTTTGAGGCTTTTAATCCTCTCTTTCGCGTAAAAATCCGACAAAAAAAGAAGATAGAATGCACTGCGGTGGTCGGAAGTTCACCCACAAATGCCGCGGTAGGGAGCCGCAAACACTATACTAATCTATCAGATTGAATAAACAGATTTCGAAGAATCCAGAAGATCAATTTACTATTCGGTTGTGAGAGTGGCATAAGAGAAGAACTCTAGCTCGTCGTTTGCAGCCCCATCAACACATTAACGAGCTGACAAGCAGGTGGTGCAGCAGAAAAACGGGACAAAAGTAAAGAAAGAAACCATTTAATTGATAAATATAAGTTGCATATGTCTAATCAGTGTTTTTCAAACACGTTTTGGCTAGTAATTCGCTCTTACTTGGTCAAACGCGGGGAAGATGTAATCCCCAAACTGAATTTCAGCAATTGCGGTGTAGCCCACAGCAGCCATGCCCACAGCCATACCGGCGATACCCTGCAAGAGGATAACAAAACCGACAGCAAATAAATAAATGAATAAATAAATAATAAACAGGTGGACAAATGGATGTAGGAGGCAAATAAAAAGATGAAATCTTTCTCTGGCCAAGCAGTTGGACTCTGTCTTTCCACTTCCCAGTCGAATTTCAACGAGTTAATTCGGTGTAACAGTTTACCAAATTTAACTCAAGTGCGAAATTGCAAATCATTAAGCTTAAGTCCCCAATTCATATTTGCCCATCTAATTACCGCCATCTGCTTTGTGTTCCCAGTTTATTTGCTCTCCATTTATTTATTTTGCGTTTATTTATTCAATTATAATTTCTCGACAACGCAAAGAAGTACAAAACCCGTTGGACGAAATGTTCGTGAAAAGCGCGCAGACGCGCAGAACCTCACTTAAGCAATTCATGAACTAACTGGCTTACAAGTCAAAAACGTAATTAAGTGCTCAGCAGCTCGACCGACAAACTAATTAATTATTTAAATACTTAATTTTAAATCATTTATAAACGAATTTGTTCCTCTTACCTGCTCTGAAAGCGGGGTATTGAAGACCCTGTGGTGCCCAAATTTGTCTCGCAGGTCCACCGAGCAGCGGAAGACTCCCCCAAAAGCAACATCTTCCCCGAAAACGCATGCCCTGGACAAAGTAGAGTGCAAATAAATAGATAAAATAAAAGAAATAGAAATATATTACAATAAATAAACAAATAAATGTAAGTGGGTGAATGAAACAGGCTTTATTTGTGGCCAAGTAATAGACGAGAGCGTAACGGCTTCAGGAATGCAGTCAGTGGGCTGCAAACGCGGCATCCGCTATTGCCTCAAAAAGATGAAAAAGTAGAAAATACGAAAAATTATATAATTTAAATACAATTAAAAGAAATGTGCCTAACTGGCCTTGCACAGGGCAGCCACTTCGCCAACAAGCACTTGGCCAACTAAGACGCGAGAAAAAGCAAGAAAAAAGTATCTTTACTTCGTCACGGGCGCCGCACAGATGTGGCGTCTATGCATGTAATTAAATTCATTAATATATCCTCAAATACAGTAAAATATGCTTGTTAATAGATGGCCTTCATAAATGCATGCAAGTTCAAGAACAAATGCACACCAATCAACTGAAAGCCGCCTTTATCTCCCCCGAATTCTTCAGAAACCGAATCAAACAAACAAAACCCCCACGTGTACGTACACCTTAACAAGTGAAAATTGCCCACAGTGACCCTTTAAGCAATCGTTGGACTCCTATACATGATTGGAATGGCGCAGCACGAGCAGCAGCAGCAGCAGCAGCAGCAGTCGCTGCTGCAACAGCAGCAGCAGCCGTGGCAGACGCAGTGGAGCTTTCTTTTATCGCTACCTCTGCAGATGCGGCTGTTGGCGCTGCATGCTGGGCGGCTGCTGCTGCTGCTGCTGCTGCGTCTGCTGCCGCTGCTGCTGCGTCTGCTGCTGCTGCTGGAGCACTTACGTGGGGTCTGTCTCCAGAGCAATGTGCATGGCGGAGTTGATGGCCGTGAAGAGATTCATGCTGGTGGTGGGGCCGTGGTCAGGCCTGGGGGAAGTGGACGTGCGGCAGGCAACTGTGAGGTCAGTGCCGGGGCCGTGGGCAAAGCCACGTTTCTGAGAGCCGTTGGGGCCCCATGTTGCGTGCAAGGGCACAGAAGCCAGAGACGGGGCCCTGAAAGCGGCTAGGGGGCCCCTGTTGAGGCGGACCCTGCTCAGGGGAGCTGGGGTCAAAAGAGAGAGAAAACGAGAGGCTGCGTGCGGCGCCATGCTCGGATTCCGGCGCTGTGTGCAGCTACAAGCCCAAAAAAGCAAAAGAAATGAAGGGGTTCACTTTATTCGTCTGTTAAACGAATACTTGGGCTGCGCGCACACCTGAAAACTGCTCGCGACCGAGCCCAACACGCAGCAGACAGGAGGAGCCCCAGCAAGGACTCCCAGGGAACTAAGAAACAAATAATTGGCTAATTTTGGGTCCTAATCATCAAACCTACACGTAACACCTTAACTGATATTATTCTTACTTTCTGTGCTCTGTTTAGCTCATAGAACGACTGCGGCCGCGCTGCAGCTACGCCGCCGCTGCGTCGGCTGCTGCTGCTGCGGCTGCTGCTGTTATAGGCTGTGTGGACGTCTCATTCGTCTATAACTTATTTTTCTATGCATATAGCCATTTTAATTAATTTTATGCTTATGAATAAGGAGTTAAGCGTTTCTGGCGCCACCCTGGGGCCCCCCACCGTCAGCATGTGGCAATTCATAATCAATTGACCTGTGGTATACTCCCAGTTATAGGCCTGCTAGGTGTGCTGCCTTGAGCAATCACATGAATATTGGAGTAATTCTTGTGCATGGTTACGGCCTACTCACTCTAATGCAACTCTGAATGGCCCACAGTGGTGTAGGGCTTCAAGGGCCTCGATCGCCTATTTCGGCCCCAGCACAGGAATGCATTTAGTTGCTAAAACCAACGCAGTTGACTCGAGAGCGTCTGTTGTGCACCATAGTTTACAAAAGAGGCTTGATTTTATAACGAAGTCTGTGAGAGGCTGGCCCCCTATCGATTCCTCCGTACATTTGTGTGTAGAGCTAGCGCTTTCCCACGGGGAAGACTTCTATAAGGCTACAGAATAAGTGAATTCCATAGACAAAACAATGCTGTAGAATAGCCGGCACAGATCAGACATCCATGAGCCTCAACAACAACTTCATCAGGATCCATGGAGGCCCCTCAGTAAGGCTCTCAGCAGCAATTCAGAGCGTAGCGCCTGTTTTTCGGCTCAAGCACAAATATTTCCCTATGCATTAAAGGCTCACAGAATAGTAAAAAACTGAACTGAACAGTAAAGAAGTGAGTGGGCTGATGCTGGCATCCAGAAGAAACTGGGGTTGCCTGACGGCTTTTGTGGCAATATATCGTGAAGTCCTCGCAGCTCCTTTTGCAACCCCCAATAAGAAAACCATTGACTCAGGCCTCAGCAGCCCCACTATATATTTCAACTATTTGTTTACTTCTTTTCTGGCTAGGCGTAATGGTATTTATTGCTCCGTAGCATCTTTAACTGTTTGCTTGGCAGAAAAACTCATTGCCTCCTTTAAACGTTACGGAAGCACACACTAGGTGTTCACCAGAAGTCAAGTCTTTTCTCTAAGACCTCAAAATGTCTTTTCTCAGCTTTTTGAAAACCTTCCCACCGCAGAGTTCCCCTATACATGAACACACTAGGCCTTAGGCTTACCTGCACTTTAAAAACACTCGCGCACGCCGCTGCAATGGACTCCGGCTCATTGACTGGGAGCCACCGCTCTGGTGTTTCCACTAATATAAATCTACATAAATAATCGAGAAGCAAATGTCCTGTGGACGTCTGCCTTTTGTTGACGAGAAGTTCTGCGAAACGAGTGGAGTGGCCCATGAAGATCAAAAAGATATTCACAGCGCCGTAGGCTCGAGGCATTGGGTCAGTTAGCTTCATGGCCCTCCAGATTTTACTTAAATACCGTCGCGAAGTAACACCGCTGGGCTAAACAGCGTCGACTTCCCGTATCATTAGCCATTCTGTGGCAAAGTTTGCCTGCCCTGCCTACGATAATTGTCGTTTTCACCCCTAAAAGCAGTTGCGTGCTCTTATATTTACCTCTTTGTGCACGGACTAATGGTGCTGTTCCCAGCAGGCACGCAGCTATCTGTCTGAAGAATGAACGCCCCGACGGAGAGGCCATCGATATGCTAGGATGCCAAGCAAGTAGAGTATTACTCAAGCAAAGCATTTACTCATCCAGGACTCGCCAGCCTTATCAGCACAAGCTTGTGGCTTGAAATCAGCTAGTTGGAGGCGTAAAAACGCAGAAGAAACGGGGATATCGCTGCGTGGTTTGAAAGACAATGAAAGCGGCTATAAACTGCGCGTACGACAGTGGGAAATCGTGCTATTTGCACATAAGGCACATCCAGAGCCAAGAGTACTGTTCAAGTTTCACTGCGTCTTTGTTAGGACTGTGTAAACGGCTGCAAAAGCAAATAAGGTATTAAAGCCCGCGCTTCTCAAGCTGTCACAGGGTGGGACCCAAGGCGTGCGATTTTCCTCTGTAGTCTAATTAATGGTTAAGTAGGGTGCCTGAGGTCACTTTCTGGCTTGAAGGGCTAAAATGGCTCCGCACTAACGAATCCTCTGAACTGCTTGAGCCATTATACATGCTTTGGGAGAAAAACACCAACATGGCATTATACTGCTGGAGCCAACCCCACTGGTCTGAAAAAGTACGAAAGAACCCAGCTGCCTATTGGCTCACGGGGATACCTTTTATGAGGCTGCAGCTCTGCCACAGCCTCAGCACAACATGAAAATAATGCCACGAAATGGGTCGCTAAGCTTTCACCCTTGTACGATTCATGGCCATAATGTAGTTTTGCTTTAGCCATCTGAGAAGCTGGGTAAGCAGCTCCTAAGAACATGCCCATCAAGTTGACAAATTCAGCTGGTAAGTTGTGTGCAAGGCATTTCCAAGGCCGCTGCTCTTTTCTCAGCTGCGAATAAGGCTTTCTCTTGTCAAAACAGAAAGGTTGAATGCCTTGGAAGGCATCGAGCGCCTGACTAATGTGTAGCGCGGAACACTATAAAATAGCCCATAAACGGCTTTTCACGGTCATAGAATTCAAAAATGTAGTAACTAGCATTAATTATCATGCAGAGAGACTTAATATTTAGGACATCGGGCTCTGCAGCTACGCCCAGGGTCTCGGGCAGGCAAGAGACACCGATGCTGCACGCCCCACGCAGCGAAGAAGAATGATCAAAAGAGAAACAAATGTATTTCTTGAGCCTTGGACCTACAATTACGTTGTTTCGAACCTTTAAATGTTTAGGCGGTGTACTTGGCCAGCAGTGGTAGGTATAAACGTTTGTATCCAGAACACGAGAGACACACAATCGGAATGCTGGCTTTAGCTTGCGCGATGATGGCTAAGGGATAATACTAAGTAAGGTTACTGCTGTGTTTCACGAACTGTTCTGTGGACGATGCAAGGCTCAGAGTTTTAACCAGGTTTCTGCGGAGGGATGCGACCGAAGCCCACTCATAGATGTAATGCGCTGCAAATATTAGCATTTGGCCAAATTCCCCTCATTTCCTGAATCCTGCACGTTTTCAAAGCATCCTTTGAAGGAAACCGAGCGGGGCGTGGCATCATGTACAGGCCCGTGGAGCTGGAAGTCAACTCCCACATAGAGTGCCTGCTGAGCAGCGGTCGCCTCCCATGGTGTGCATTCAACTTCAACACAACTAATTATGCGGTTTATTCTGATAGCAGTCTTATTTGGGTGTCGGGTGTATCCCAAGCTGCGCTGAGGGAGCTGCAGCGCAGCTGCTGTGTAGCTGGAGCTAGAGAACTGCGAGGAAGACAGGTGAAATCACCAGCAACTAATTGGTGCAGAAACACTTAGTGGGCTGCTATTGGGCAGGATTGCCTGGTGAGGCCTAAAATGAGCACCCAAGAATCCATACATATGCCTTCAGACAAAAACCAGACGGAAATAACAATTCAGTGAGTCATAAACCCCGAGCCCTCAAGCACAGGTGAGAAACGTGACCGGTTTGTTACCTGAAATAAAGTGGCAGACAAGCCTAAGAATGCTTAGCTTCATTCCTTATATCTTGTGCAATTTTTTATGCGGCACAGAGATAAATGATGTAACAGTGTGATTTATGTATGATGCACTTGCGTATTGGTCCCTTTCATTGCAGCATGGTGGACATCATATATAATTATTTCTTCCTATTCTATCCCTGCTTTACAGAGCAAGAAAAGATCACCTATCACTATTGTGTCACAGCAGATATGTGAGCACACCCAAGACTAATAATATTATGGATACTCTAACTATTATGGCCAATAAAACTCCTTATTATTTACAGTTAATAGCGAACATTTATACATGCGAGATACGAATGGTAAAACGAAGGAAAAATGAGGACAATGACCCCTCAGCTCGACGGAATGAACGTGAAAGAATTATTGTTGCGCTTCTCAAGCTCTATGATTTACTTGCAGTGCTCCAGTGGCATAAATGTGATGAGGCTTATGCATGTTAGGGAACTTCTACACGACTGTCCAGAGCCCTAGTTTGTTGCAGCAGCAAACAGCAATAAGTACACACTCATGAGGGAACACCCACATTGGGAAGGTTGCGTTCATCCAAATGTTATGGGGAAGCTGCTTTCATCTTACTATTTTGTCTGTCACTACCTCTTCATGGTAATTCACGAAATTCTGTTGCTTCCACAAGTTATTTATAATGTAATTAAGCGTTTTTTAGCCATCCCAGGCAAATTGGTACCGTTGACACGCAGCACGATGGCCCATGCGCGCAAATGACTTCAGGGAGTTTCGTGGATATGAAACGGCCTGTGGTACCTCTAGTGGCTGCACAAGTGCAATGTGGCCAAGAGCTCTTTGGTGTGCAGTACACTCGTTTCACAAGTCCAAGTTTGGCTTCTGGATCATAGAGAGGCGGGGCCAGCCTGCCCTCGTATTGGAGCAAGAGCGAGGCTCTTGGCAACACAAAGTGTTGGGAGCTAAAAACGAATTGTATTGAGAGTTGCCGTTGTTGCACAATGTTTTCCGGCGATTCGTGCAAGGGGTTTTGACCTCTGCAACCAAATACTAACCTAGTTGGGAACTATGGAGGCTTTCTCTCTTGAAAGAGAATTATGACCGTTGTAGAGACTTGTCCATATCACTTAGAGCAAAACCACTATGGGAACTTTGGAGGCTTTCTCTCTTGAAAGAGAATTATGACCGTTGTAGAGACTTGTCCATATCACTTAGAGCAAAACCACTACAAAGTAGCGGCCTAAGTTACATCTGAGTGAACGCTCTTCGCAGATGTTCCGCGCGGGTATGGTGAAGTCCCGACTAAACTGGTTTGCCCACTTTTCTGTTTCCCTTTATGTTGTCTCGTAGTTAAGGTATTTTGGCACTAACCGTTGCAGCTCTCGGCTTTTTGCCAGATTCTGTTTCAATTTGTCGAAGTCTTACCTGTGCCGTGTTGAATGGATCCCGTAAAGCACACATGCAAATGGAATGTCACACTGCGGAGTTCGGGACGTTGTTTGTTCATGAAACGGGGTGCAAACTGTGGGCGTGTAACTTCTATTGATGAAACACATTTTCGAGGATTTGGGAACAACTGTTTACTATTTGAGGCCTTGCATTTGCCGACGTCGTTGAGGGCAAAAGGCCTAGGGAAAACCGTCTGGTGGAAGTCGACGAAATGTTGAATGCGTTGCGGGCATGAACAACAAGTCCAAGGCTCACCCGGCAGTGCTGCTGTTTGATACGCATGCTAATGCACAGCTAGCTGGAGCAAAAAGCCAAGAGCTCAGCCAAGACTATGCCGTGCACCCAGTGCGTAAACTCTTGCTCGTAAATCGTGTACCCAAGCACTCTACCACCGTCGTAAGACCGTTTGAGCTGCTCTGATAGTGTTAAGGGCGATCTTATGGTGTGCTATGAAGAGCGAAGCAATGCCCAGCTGGACCGATGTTCCTTCCCCACAAGGAGCTGCTCCGTGGCTGCACCGATGTGAATGAGTGCAATAAAAAATGAGAAAAATAATACGAGGGAATGAGGCCACACAGAAAAGAACTATTAGGAGGGCTTGACGCGGCGTAGGAGGAGCTGATGCATTGGACGGCTGGTGACAGCAAATGGACAACACTTCAAACTTTGGCTTTGCAGCTTAACGCTGAAAGCGCAGTATAACAGCTCAGCACCAAGGCAGAGGGGCCCCATTAGAGTCATATTTAATTTAAATTGTATCGGAAGGCCGGATAGATTAGTGCTATCCACTGAAATAACAGTGTGTGTAATCCACTGAAATAAGGATGCACTGCCTACACAGAGGCACAACGGAACGGTGGGCAATACGCCGCGGCCAGCAGCGGTTGAAGGCAAATGTAAAGTTGCCTTCAAACTAGTTAAAGGCGGAATACAGAGACAAAGAAAAGGGTAGATGAGAGGCCTTCAGACATTATATTTTCAGAGCTGGCTACCCAGCTGGTATGTGGCTGCTGCGGGCTGTTGTGTGGTCATGGCTGCTTGTCACACCTGCTGGTAGCGCAGGGTGCCGTTCAAGGGACAATTTAGGATTTTGGGGCATAAAAGAGGAAATCTTCGGCCTTTTTATATCAAGCTCTTCACTGCTAAAACCCTGTTTGCTTTAGGATTCAACTCGGTGAGCTCCCCTCCGCCTACCGCGTCACGGTGTGGGTTTGAAGGCGGCAAAGCGCGATGGTGCGCTGTTACGCCAGTTGAGGGCTCTTCCCTTTGGTGTTTCACTTGATTTATATTTTGGTTTAGTCTCTGAAACAGTTCGTAAGCGGACTGGACCCAGGCTGCACGCAGGGTAGATAGAGCCGGAAGCGGTTTGTTCAGCCCTTCAGCTCGTTGCGCCGTAAGCCGTGTCTTCAGCTGATAAGTGCATCTTGTGTCGCCTCTGGCTCTCTACAACTTCTTTTTATTCCGTGTCTCACACTCGCGGCGCTTTTGAGACCCGTCCAGGCCCCCCCCTACCTGCCTTCCTGCCCTTACTGATCATTCTTGAACTTGAACGAGGGCAATACCGCCCGCGATACCCCACCTGAGAGCCCAGCTAGCTGTTCCGGAGTTTCTTTGCTATATTCTGATCCACGGGCAGGCCTTTAGGCCACTTAAAGGGCCAAGGGGGCGGCGAGGCAGCGGGCCAGGAATGCCTGTGGGCCGCTCTGGGCACATTGCCTTCTGTGGGCGCTTGGCGAGTTTCTGTGTTGTGCCTGGGCTCTCTGTGCTAGAGGCTTGTTTTGAGTGCTGTGAAAAGTGCATTTGATGCATGCATGCGCCCCGGCTGCCTTCCCTGGCCGCTGTCGCGGCTCTTCCTGCGGGGATTGGTTTCTTTCCTTCACGATGGCTTTGTTCCCTGTGTTCCGGACTTCTCCGATTCGCATCCTCAACGCAGAGCTGCCGAAAGCGGGACTCTTTTGCTGCTGCCCCCGAGCGGCCGCGCCCCATTCTGTCTTTGCTGCTTTTGCTTGTGGTGCTGCTGCAGATCAAAGTGCATGCGAAGAGCGCCACTGTTGGAGCCATCCCCGCGAGGATTGACGATGAACGACCGTGAGGGTCATCGCCTGTGAGTTTCTCTCTCGTATTCTTTCGTTTAGTGGCTCTTTGCGCGTTTCTAGTTCAAGTTGGCTGCACGCGGCTGCGACCCGGTACTATTCGTGGAAAGCTGCGGCGAAACAGCCTTCACTTTGTCTGAATTTTCAAAGTTTATTATTTAAATTGTGTTGCATGCAGAGATGGGCTTACGTGGAAGCGAGAATCCCTAGATGGCGACCTGCGAGCAGCAGGCCGACGCAGGGAAGCCTATGGGTCTCAGCCGCAGTACCCGATGGGCGTGGCTCGAGCAGGGGATATGAACATCAGCAGCAGCAGCAGCAACAGCAATGCGAACACCAGCAGCAGCAGCAGCAACGGCTTCCGCAGGTTCGCCCCTGCAGCTCACGCCTCCAGTGCTGATGTGGACAGAGGCTTCGGAGCGCTGCGTTCCGGGTCTGCGCAGAAGCCCACGGGATGGTCTTCTAGCCAGAGCGTGTCTTACCCGGTAGCTTCTGCTGCTTCTGCTGCTGCTGCTGGCGGAGGCACTGCAGCAGCAGCGATGCAGCAGCAACGCAAAGGCCACAGCGCTGCCCCTGCAGCGTGCCCGGCGGCTCGAGGCAGCTTCTCAGGCATCCGGCGGCAGCCCCAAGCAGCGGAAGCAGCAGCACCTGCAGCAGCAGCAGCAGCAGCAGCAGCAGGACAGCAGTACCGCGGTCGTGTCCCAGGAAAGGGCCCCACGAGCCCTGTGCATGCAGAACCCACCAGTCGGCAGCCCAGCAGCCCCGGAGACGCATGCAACGGCTTTGCTGCGCTGCGGCGGGACAACAGCAGCAGCAAAGCCAGCCAGGACACTCCGGGGGGTCCCGAGGCCCCCGCCGGGCCCCGAAGGGAGGGCGTGGGGGCCCCTGCGGGGGCCCCCACGACCGCCGGGGGGGCCCCCGGGGGGGCCCCTGGGGGGGCCCCCCGGGGGGCCCCGGGGAACTCGCCCGAAACAGCTTCTGGAGGGTCTCCCGCGGGGGCCCCTGAGGGGCCCCCAGCCCTCGTTTGGTAGCCCCGGCGGGCGCTGACGCGGGAGGAGGAGCTTCGTCGCAGCGTGAAGTCTTTGTTGAACAAACTGACAATTGAAAAGTTTAGTGTTATTTCGGAAAAGATTGCAAACATTCTCGAGGGTTCTTTGGAAAACAACGAAGAAGTGCGGCTCATTGTGGACGCCATGATCGACAAGGCCGTCACCGAGCCCGACTGGTCAGAAATGTATGCGGACCTCTGCCAGGTGCGTCGGCCTGCTGCTGCTGCTGCTGCTGCTGCTGCTGCTGCTGCTGCTGCTGTTGGCTGTGGATTTGCTGCTGGTGGGGATTTGGGGTGGGCTTTTGCTGCTGGTGGGTGTGTGCGCGTCCGCCCTTGCTGCTGCTGGCGTTGTTGCAGCATGCTTGCATCGTAGGCTGCTGCTGCTGCTGCTGGATTTAAGTGAATTTCTGCTGCTGCTGCTGCTGCTGCTGCTGTGGCGTATGCAGCTGCTGCAGTGGCGCAGCGTGGCGCCCTACGGCGACCCCGAAACGATCAGGAAGACTGCGTTCATGTTGAGTCTTTTGACGAGAATTCAGGAGGAGTTCGAGGCGATGCCGTCGTGAGTTTTATTTCAATTCAATTCATCAGACTTTTCCACTTTTTCTCACTTGCAATCCGCCTGCAGAGGCTACTGTGCTGGAAGCATGAGCATCCGCCGCCGCTGCTGCTGCTGCTGCTGCTGCTGCTGCTGCTGCAGTGTGTTGCAGCCGCGGGTGTGCGGGAGCGCGGAGGAGCAGCAGCAAGAAGAGGCTCGGCTGAAGCGGCGGGTGATGGGAGTTGTGAAGTTGATTGGAGAATTATTTCATCGGAAACTCTTGGGATTCAAAGTGGTCAACGATGTTGTTGTGGAACTGGTGATGCGCAGCGAACAGCCAGACGAACACCTCGTCGAGTGCTTCTTGCAGCTCATCGCCACTGTCGGTGAGGCCAACTTTCTTTTTGAACTCTTCCTTTTTTTTATTTTGTCTAATCTACTCTTTTTGAACACTTCCATTTCTGTTTTTGTCTAATCTGAGTCCAACTAATCCTTTTGAACACTTCCATTTTTGTTTTTTGTCTAATCTACTCTTTTTGAACACTTCCATTTTTGTTTTTGTCCAATCTGAGTCCAACTACTCTTTTTGAACAGTTCCATTTTTTGTTTTTTTGTCTATGAATCCAAGTACTCTTTTTGAACACTTCCATTTTTTATTTTGTCTAATCTGAGTCCAACTAATCTTTTTGAACACTTCCATTTTTTTTTGTCTAGGCTGAGTCCAACAAATCTTTTTGAACACTTCCATTTTTTTGTCTTTTTTTGTCTAACCTGAGTCCAACAAATCCTTTTGAACACTTCCATTTTTGTTTTTTGTCTAATCTTCGCCGCTTTGTCTTCCTGTGCCGCCGCGCCGCGGCGCCTGTTTCCTTTCTGCAGCTCTCGCAGCTACATGCTGGTCAATTTCTCGGTCTTTTGCCGGGAGTTTGCTAATTAATTCTTTTCGATTTATGTCTTTAACTTTATTATTGTCTTTTTGTTGTCTGATCTATTTCGTCCTCCTTGGAGTCACTTGTTTGGCCTCTGGCGCGCCCCGGGAATCAACGCAGCCTTGCAGTGTGCCTGTTCCACTCTGTTTCTGTTCTATTGGGCTTCTATTACTTCTTCATCTGAGTTTTTTTATTAATAATTCGTCTTTTATATTCTTATACTTCGTTTCGTCCTCTCACTCGTGTGAGATGAGCAAATTCTGCAGCTGCCGCGGCACTTGTGCAAATGGGGTCCCACCTCAATACTTTGCAGATATGCGAATTGTAAATATTCTTAACTCTTCGTCTGTGGATGAGATTTTATGGCTTCATATGCTTATACACTTCATGTACACACATATTTATCGAAATATGGTGCAATGAATATATATATTTACGTGTGTGTGTAAGAAGGCTAGCACGGCAGAACAAAGCTTGCTGTGGCAGCAGCAGCAGCCGCGCAGCAGAGGGCAGCTGCTTTATTATTTTTTCTGTGTTTATGAATTGTTTGTTCAGGTTACTTCATTGATCAAAATCCGAAACTGAAGATTGTGCTGGACAGTTGGTTTGGGCGTTTGCGGGAACTCCAAAGCAAAAGCTGCTACTCCAAGAGGATCAAATGTGTTATTCAGGTGAAGCTGCCTCCTTATTCATCTACTTTTGGCTTTTTGTACATTTCTTTATTCATTTTTTTGTCTATTTATCCAGTTGCTGACCGTTCCTAAGACTATTCTGTTTCTTCTATTTCTGGTACTTTATATTTTCTGAACGAACGGAAGAAATAGAGAATATAAGCCTTTTTTTTCGTTCTTTTGTTCGTTCCTGGGAAGTTCCTTTATTTATTCTTCTTTTGCTTAATTGTATTTTGTTTTATTTTTGATTTTCCTTTTCCAGGACACTATTGATATGCGGCGGGCGGAATGGCGCAAAAAAATTCACAAGGAAAGAGCCAAGGCCTTGGACGCATTGCATGACCAAGTGAGATAAAAAATCGGCAATTGAATCAGTGGAGTTAATTAAAAAATAAATAAAATAATTAACAATTGAAGGATTCAAAAATAGAAATAAACCAATAATTGGAATGAATGGGGGAAACGGAGGATTAATTGGTACTAAAGAATGGCCGGCGGTTGGGCTTGGCGCCGAAGCAGTGTTGAAAGTTGAACATGAACGAAGTAGTATTTATTGATCCATTCATGCCTCTTTTCCTTGACTATCCCGTTAAATAAGAATTAATGAATTAAGAAGTAAATAAACTAATTTGTTTGGCTGATTTAATGTCCGTTTTCAGCTTGAGACAGAAGAAGTGCTGGGCGGAGCTGTGCACGCGGCGCAGTATGGAAACATAATTGTAGTGGGGGAGAGGACTAATTTGGTGGGTTTCTTTCTTTTCAAATTGAATTTTATTTTTAATTTGTCCGGTTTTGTTTGTTTGATCCTGCCAACACTGCCTCACGTCTTCTAGAGCAAGAGTTTTCATTCATTTAGAAACGAAATTGCTTGTCTCGTCGCTTCTTGTTTATCTTTGCCGACAATTGTCTTTACTGATGCATGCATGCGTTTTCTTATTTGTATTCTCTTCTTTTATTTTGTCCCAGTTGGATTGTTCACTTTTTGTCTTTTTATTTCCGTGGCTTGTCGAGTCTTCCAGTGAAGTTCGCACAACTTGTACATAGATGCCTATTGCCTCTGGTCAAACCAATTTAATGTATATTTTTTTTAATTGTTTTTTCTTTCTATTTATTCTTTTGTTTTGCTTCAGAACGGCCAGTACTTGGATTATTTGAAGGAGCAGGAAAACAAATACCAAGAAAGAGTGAAAAACCGATTGGCCGCAGCTGCGGCGCGCGGCAGCGCAACAATGAATAAATAGATAAAATGAAATTAAATAAATAAATAGTGAATAAGCGGAAATAATTTTATTTGAGGAGTTGTTAGTGTGCAGAAATAATAGACATTTATACCAAGTGCAGCTGACGTAATTACCGCACGTTGTTTTCGTAGCAGCAGCAGCACCAACAGCTGCGGCAGCACCAGCAGCTGCTGCGGCTATCCGCAGCCTTACTTCCTTTTCACTGGGAAAGAAGTCTAGTATTTAGATAAGGTAGCAGCAGCAGCAGCAACAGCTGCTACTGCTGCTGCTGTTGTTGCTCATTTGCAACTCAACAGCAGCAACAGCACCAGCAGCAGCATCTGCTGCTGCTGGTTTTGTAGAATTTCGACCGCTGCGCCTCTGCGGCGCTTTTGTACATCAGAGGCCCAGGAGGGCCCCGAAAGTCCTCCATTATTACTGCTGCTGCTGCTGTTAGCTAGAGCAGCAGCAGCAGCAGCAGCAGCAGCAGGCGGCAGTTGTAAGGAATACAGAATTTGTTCTGTGTTCCACGGCTGCAGCAGGGGCGCGGTGTGAGGGCATTTGCTGCTGCCGACAGCTCTTGCTGCTGCCAAAACAGCAAAAAGAAACGGCTGACAAACTCAGAAAAGCCTCGTCAAAGTTTATTGCTTCCAGCGTTGCTTTAACTATCAGGGTTTAGGGTTTAGGGTTTGGGGTTTAGGGTTTATCTAGGGGTTAGGGTTTAGGGTTTAGTTAGGAGCCGAAGGAGGCTGTGCTCTTGCTGGCAGTTACGCTGGCAAGCTAGCTAGTTATGGGGCGCTAGTTGAGCCAGCTAGCTAGCTAGCTGGCAAGTGACTAGCAAGCTAGCCACCTGGGCTTCCGCGTCGCTAGCTAGCTAGCCAGCTATCTAGCGAGCTAGCTCCCTGGCTGGGCATCTGTGCCGCTAGCTGGCTAGCTAGCTACCTAGCTGGCTATTTGCGTTTCTGGCTAGCTAGCTGGATATCCGGGTAGCTAGCTAGCTAGCGAGCTAGCTAGCTGGACACTCACATTGTGAGCTAGTTAGCTAGCTGGGTATTCAGATTCTCAGAGGCTAAATATCTGCGCAGGGCCAATCAGACACTGGTGCTGCTGCTGGCTTAGCCTTGGAATGGGATGTCTTGTTTCTTTTTTTAATTTTACATTTATTTGTTTGCCACTAAATGGCACATAGATGGAAACCCTAAACCCTAAGTCCTAAACCCTAAAGTGAGGGTTTAGGCCTGAACCCTGAAGACTTCTCGGGCCCTGAAGCGGCTTCTAAGGCAGTGGCTTGGGGCTGCGACTGTGGGCAGCAGCTCCAAACCCTACGCTAAACCCTAAACCCTAAACCCTAAACCCTTGTGCAGGTTTACTTGAGGGTTGCCAGAGCAACAAAAGCCCAGTAGCTGCGCGGCAGCCACTCTCTTTCAGCCCTATGCATGCAGCTTTTTGCTGCTGAGCGCAGCCGCGCGCTTACTGTTTGCTGCTTCACCAAGTTCCACAAAGGGTACTTGGGGGCCCCCAAAGGGGCCCCCAGAGGGGCCTCCAGGGGGGCCCCCAAGGGGTCCTGGGGGCCCCCTACATGCTGCTGCGTTGACCTGTGTGCTGCTGCTGTGCGGTAGAGCAATTGAGAAGTGCGGATGCACCCCGTGGTTTCTGTGCTGCAGCAGCAGCAATTGCAGCCGAAGTGATGCACTTGGTGCAGCAGCAGCAGCAGCAGCAACTGATGCTGCAGCGCAGCAGCTGGGACAACCGCTGCAGCGACGCAGCCATTGGGGGTGGACCGTTCAGCTTGCTGCTGGACAGTGCTGTTGCCAGTGCTGCCGCGTGCTGCTGCTGCTGCTGCTGCTTGCTGCAGCAAGGTCTGTATTTGCTGCTGCACTAGGCCGTGGTGCTGCTGCGCCAGCAGCAACTCCGATTGCCACTGCTGCTGCGTGTCTGCTTCTGCACTAGTAGCAGCAGCAACGCCGCCTAGGGGAATGGCCCAGCAGGGAGTTCTGCTGCTGCTGCTGCTGCTGCTGCTGTGCAAGTGCAGCAAAGCCCCTACTGTCTTGCACAGCTGCAGCAGCAGCGCCTCGCCCACAGGAAAGTACGCGCGGCCAGTTTGGCACGGGTCCACTTCCAGCTGCAGCAGCTCCTCCATAGAAAGCAAACTGCTGGCAGCAGCAGCAGCAGCAGCTGCTGCTGCTCCTGCTGGGGCAGATAGCGAGGGGAGCTGGGGGCCCTCTTGAGCTTTACCCTCCATCTCATTCTGCTGCTTCTCGCTGCTGCTGCTGCTGTTCTTGCTGCTGCTGCTGCTGCTGCAGTGCCACGGGTCTTGCATCAGCGCTGAGTCCACGAGCCGGGCAGCCAGGGCATCGATCTCGAGAGCCTGCCCGCTGTGCTGCTTCTGCTGCTGCTGCTGCTGCTGCTGCAGCTCTGGCTGCAGCACGGGCTGCGGCACTAGCGCCTCGACAGACACAGCAGCAAAACCGAGAGGGTTCGCCACAGCCTCAGCAAATGCAGCAGCAATTAGAGCCATGTGGCTGTCGGGGCACAGCAGCAGCTGCTGCTGCGCCCACAGAGCGCACTGCGCCCAGCAGCCTGCTGCTGCAGCAGGAGTTGCCGGAGCAGCAGCAGCAGCAGCTGCTGCTGCTGCTGCAGCAGACGCGTGCGTCGGTTGTGGGTCGTCCCATTTCTGGGCAGTGGGCGTCCTTTCCTTGTCTGCTGCTGCTTCGGCAACTGCAGCAGCAGCAGCAGCAGCAGCAGCAACGCTGGCCTCGACCTGGCTGCATGCACTGCTATAAACTGAAAAACAGGCTAAGACCCTAAGACACAATTGCTGCAAAGCACTTTCTGTAAGACACAGGGCCTCAGAAGGGGGGCCCCCCAGGGGCTCTCTGTGCATGCGCAGCACAGCGTGGGCCCCTTGGGGGGCCCCCGGTTCTTCTTCAGCTGCTGCTGCCAGGAGGGCCCCCCCCTCCTGCAGCAGCAGGCCCGCAGCGGCGCTGCTGCTGCTGTTGCTGCTGCTGCTGTTCTCGGCAGCTGTCTCGGGCCCCAGGTGCAGCAACAGCTGCTGCGCCCGGCGGCTGCGCTGCTGCTGCTGCTGCAGCAACTTGCTGCAGCTGCTGCCCCCAGCAAAAGCTGACAAGAACTGCAGCAGCAAATTGCCCTCGGATTGGCCTCCCCGGGGCTCCACGAGTCTGAGGGTGTCGGGTAGTGCAGCAGCAGCAGCAGCAGCAGCAGCAGCAGAGCTGCAGGAACTCCCCCCCTCTCTGCTGCGGCGCAGCGGGGCACGGCTGCTGCTGCCCCCCAGCAGCAGCAGCAAACCCTCGAGACCCACAGACTCGCAGCAGCTGAAGTGGGGCCCCCCCTGCTGCAGCAGCAGCCGCTGCCGCAGCGAAGGGTAGAAGGAAGCAGGGCAGGGCCCATCCCTTGCTGGCGCTGCTGCTGCGTCTGCTGCTGCTGCTGCTGCTGCTGCTGCTGCTGGCTGCTGGCTGTCTGTGGCGGCGCTGCTGTCGCTAGCAGCAAGCTCCAGAGCGGGCAGCAGCAGGTGCAGCAGCGGCTGCTGCTGCAGCGGCAGCAAAATGCGGGTCAAGTAAGACCACAGCAGCACAGGCAGCAGCCCCGCGAGGACTCCCCTAACATAAGCGACGCACTGACACCTGGAGATGGCCAGCAGCAAGCAGGCGCGGCAGCCCGCTGCTGCTGCTGCTGCTGCTGCTGCTGGTTGTGCTGCAGCAGCAGCAGCGCATGCACTCCAAGGCAAGTCTCTCCTGTCTCTCCCTCCTCTTGAATTTGTTCGAGACAAAGAATTAACACTTAAAAACCGACGCAGAGAAGAGCTGCTCTTTCGGCTGCCCTTTGGCAGCAAACAAGCGGGCGAGCTCCCCTTGGGGGCCCCCCCTGGGGGCCCCCACACAGAAGGCAGGCCCCAGCCATTGGGGAAAGCCATGCCAGCTACGGGAGTGGGCTCGTCTGGAGGGTCAAGTGGGTACGATTCTGCTGCTGGGGGCCCCCCGGGGGGCCCCTCTGCTGCGTCGAATGGGGGGCCCCCCAGGGGGCCCCCCAGGGGGCCCCCCGGGGGGCCCCCCGGGGGGCCCCCCGGGGGGCCCCCCAGGGGGGACGGGTCAGCGCTTGGGTCCTTTAGTGCTGCTGCTTGCCAGTGAGGAGCCTCCAAAGGGTTAAGAGTTTTAAGAATGAAATCTGCTTCGTCACAGAGTTTCCAAAGAGAAGCCAGGAAGTGCAGCAGCGGGTCTTGTTCTGCTGCTGCTGCTGCTGCTGCTGCTGCTGGGCTGCTGCTGCTGCCGCTGCTGCTGCTGCTTCTGCTGCTGCTGCTGCTGCTGCAGGTGCACACCAGCAGCAGGAAGGCTGAGTAAAGCATGCTGCTGCTGCGCAGGCGGCAGCAAAAATGAAAAACTCGAAATAAAACTGACAAACAAAAATAAGAGGGGCCCCACAGCTGCCGCTCGCTGTGAGACTGCCGCCGGCTCTCCTGCACAGCGGGCACGTGGTAGGGGCAGCTGCGCGCAGCAGCAGCAGCAGCAGCAGCAGCGGCAGCAGCAGCAGCAGCAGCAGCAGCGGCAGCAGCAGCATAGAAGGGGATTCGCTTGTGTTTGTTTTCTTGCGCGTAAATCTTTGCAGCAAAAGCAAATTAATAAAATTGAAGTTTGAACAAAATGAATAAAAATATATTCAGATGAAGAAAATATGAAATATGATTTATATAATTTATAACGAGCTATACTATATGGTGCAGCGCAGCTGCTGCTGCTTTGCTGCTGCTGCTTTGCTGCTGCTGCTTTGCTGCTGCTGCTTTGCTGCTGCTGCTTTGCTGCTGGCCTTACTTGCAAAAGGCTCCTTCATTGGCTCTGGGGGCCTCGCTGGGAACCAAAAGCTGCAGCAGCAAAGAGTGGAGGTGCTGCAGCGCAGCAGAAAAGGCAATGGGATCAGTTGGGGGGAAACGCGCAGCAGCAGAAACACCCCCAGCAGCAGCAGCAGCAGCAGCAGCAGCAGCAGCAGCAGCTGGGGGGCCGTCCTGTGCTAGGGGAAGCTGCAGGCGAGTTAGTGGAAGCTCAGAGAGGGCAACAGCGCGGCAGAAGTCCTGGAACAAGAGGACGCTTCGGATTCCACTTTCTGGTCCCTGCTGCCGCCGCTGCTGCTGCTGCTGCTGCTGCCGCTGCTGCTGCTGCTGCTGCTGCTGCTGCTGCTGCTGGGGCCTTGGAAGGCCCGCTGCAGCTGATAGCTGCGCCACGCCGAGGCCAAATGCTGCTAGGGAGTGGAGGATGGCGGAGATCAGCGGATCGTCAAGTTCAGCAGCTTCGTCGCAGGGGCCCTCAGCAGCAGCGCAGGGCTCTTCCGCTGCTTCCTGCACTGGAAAGGCAGCAACTGCATGCATTTTAGTGAGTCAAATGACCCAATTGGAAACTATAAATGCCCCTGAAGAGGGCTGGGAAGGCTGGCAGCGCCGTGTCTCAGAGGCCCGCCGCACCGCAGCCGCTGGCTAACCCGCATCCCGCGCTCAATCGAGAAGAGGGACAAAAAAATCAAAAAAAGAAATGCCTTGAAATGCGGCGGACGGATATTAATGATTTTAATCAACAAAGCTGAAGTTTCCGGGAAAATAATGGGCAGCACGTGGTTCGGTACTGGGTCCTGGGTGCCTGCGCTGTTCCTAGTGGCTCGTGACTGCAAGAGCGGAGTTCGCAAGGAAATCGCCGCTGATCACCTGCGATCTCGACGCCAAATAGAATAAAATATCAATTAATTCCAGAAAAACACTTTATTTATTCTTTTGAGACAAAAAATAAGCTCCAAAAAAGGCAGTTCAACTTCAGACAACGCCGCCGCGAAGCGGGCGGCTCTGCCGACACCAGTGGGCGGTCCTCCCTCTTCTGACCGGAAAATATTCAAATAAAGCTCATAAATAAAAGAGTTATTCTTTTTAATTGCAAAAACAGAAATTATTTATTCATTTATGCAGGCGGCGGGCGCTAAGACAACGTCTTTTGTGAATCCTGCCCAGTCGCCGGGTTGCTTGCAGGTGGCCAGTTGCGACGAAAACAGGCGCGCGAGAGCTTCCGCAATTGAAAAAGGGAATTTGCATTTAAAAAACTAAAAATAAAAACATAAATTTGCATTTAAAGCACATAAATAAAATGAAAATGCTCCCCCCTGGATAAAGTCTTAGCTCCTCCCCGAAATCGGAATGACAGTAAAAGGGAAGCTCAACTTGCCTAGAGCTATCGAGCCCGCAGCGAAACTAATTCCATTTTTCCTGCTAGAACACCTAAAGGCTCAAAACCCGACTCTAAACCCTAAACCCTAAACCCTAAACCCTAAACCCTAATTCCAGCGTGGCCCGCACTCGCATTAGGCGAGACGAAGAAACCCGAAACCCCTGAAAGCTGCGAGTTCTGCTGCGTCAAAACAAGAAAAGCATTTGCTGCATTGGCTGAAGTTGCATTAAATTGTTGAACAATTCTTTTTTGAATTAAATTTATGAATTGGCAGCAAAGAATTATTCTTTTTTGGCCTTTTTCGACTTCGCAGCAGCAGAAACCTCAGCAGCAGACTCTCGAGACACTCCAATGCACTGGTCCGCCACTCTCGGCTTTTTGTGCCGTTTGTACTTTTCTATTTCCTGCTGCAGCGCCAGGAAACTCACCCCGTCGTCTATGCTCTGTCAAACAACCAGCAGCAGCAGCAGCAGCAGCAGCAGCAGCAGCAGCAGCAGCAGCAGCGGCAGCAGCAGCAGCAGCAGTCGCAGAAGTGTGGGTAAATGGGCTGGAGGGAAGACTTGGACAAAGAAATGCACAGCCACAGATGCCGGGGAAAAACAGTGACCTTCATCTGCGTCTAGTTGCTGCTGCTGCTGCTGCTGCTGCTGCTGCTGCACTTGCTACTGAGGCGCTGCTGCTGCTGCTGCATCTCGTTTTGCGGCCTGTGCCGCTGCTGTCCCTGCTGCTGCTGCTGCTGCTGCTGCTTACCCGTTTAACATTCATTAGGACCCTCATGTCGTTGGGCATTGCCTTATCCTGCAGCCGCAGCAGCAAAGGCGAGTGTTGCACTACATCAACATCTTAGGGTTTAGGGTTTAGGGTTTAGGGTTTAGTATCATCGGCTTTCCCAACCCACATACTGCACAACACACATGGTGGTACAGATGGAGAAAGGGTTTTGTTCAATTAAAATAATAAAGTTATTTATATTTTTAAATAAACAATTAAATTCATCTTAAAGGCTTTAATCATTTTAAATAATTAGCAGCAGCAGCAGCAGCAACTCCACTCAGCCTCTCCAGCAGCTAGCTAGCCAGCCAGCGACGAGCAAGCAGCAGCAGCAGCAACAACAACAACAGCAGCACGAACACCGGCAGCAGCAGCAGCGTTACCACCAGCAGCAGCTTCACCAGCAGCACTACCCGCAGCAGCAGCAGCAGCAGCCACGGCACCAGCAGCAGCAAGACCAGCAGCACTACGGGCAAAAGCAACAGCAGCAGCCTGAGCACCAGCAACTCCCGCAGCAGCAGCAGCCTGACCCGCAGCAGCAGCAGCATCCTGACCCACAGCAGCAGCAGCATCCTAACCCACAGCAGCAGCAGCAGCATCCTGACCCACAGCAGCAGCAGCAGCATCCTGACCCACAGCAGCAGCAGCAGCGTGACCCGCAGCAGCAGCAGCCTGACCCACAGCAGCAGCAGCAGCAGCGTGATCCGCAGCCGCAGCACCAGCATCCTGACCCACAGCAGCAGCCGCAGCAGCAGCCTGACCCGTAGCAGCAGCAGCCTGACCCGCAGCAGCAGCAGCCTGACCCGCAGCAGCAGCAGCCTGACCCGCAGCAGCAGCAGCAGCAGCAGCAGCAGCCGCAGCAGCAGCAGC